ACCTGGAATGGCAGAAATTTAGACTTGTTAAAGTTTCTGATTGCTTTTAGAAGAACTCGTCAGCCCTCGTCGAGCACATCCATCATCTTTGAGACGTCCACATTGCTCTCCATCCGAGGAGCTCGTGTCCCCAGAGCCTGACAAAGTGAACCCTCGGTCTGATGAAGCTGAGCTACCGTCCTCATCGAGGCTCACAGACCAGACCAGCACGCTCTCTGCTTTAATCTGCTGGTTCATGCTGTGTTTCCAATCCAGAGTTCAAAGAACAGAACACGAGTTTCTCCACCCAGCTGAGTCAGGTTCAGGTGACTTTACCTGTGCCCGCAGGTGCATTCTGGGAGTCCCCCATGAAGATCAGAGTCACGTGTTTGTGTTCTGGAGGGTCTGAGCTTCAAATTAAATCTAAAATCAGCACAACTCACATCAAACTGTCAGCAATGTGAGAGAAACAGAGGTCAGAGATAGTGTCTGTCTCCTGGTTCCACAGAAGAGGGGCCTGAAAACTGAAGGCTCTGCCTCCCATTCTACTTTAAATACTCTAGGAACAACAAGTAGGCCTGCAGAGCGAGAGCCAAGGAAGCCAATGGAGAAATCTGCTCTCTCTTTCTAGTCCCTGTCAGGACTCTTGCTGCAGCATTTTGGATCAGCTGAAGGCTTTTCAGGGAGTTTTTAGGACTTCCTGATAATAATGAATTACAGTTAAAGGTGTAGTGTGGGCCACTGACTCCTGAAGGATGTAAAAGGTTCAGACCGAGCTTCATGGTCCGCGTGTTTCCTGCATGCAAAAACATTTCAGATCAGAGGAAAACCTGCAGAAGTGAGATACAGACATGTTTTAACCTCTCAGTCTTCTGCTGTGTAACATCCACCTCCTCCTATCCCAGCATCCTCCTGTCACACCAACCCTCTGCATGTCCTCCTTCACTACATCCATGAACCTCCTCTGAGCTCTTCCTCTCCCACCCTCCCCCCTCAGCCGTCCCTCTGATGGACTCATTTCTGATCCCGTCTCACTGCCAGTCAATATCAGAACATCTTCAGTTCAAGCTCTTTTTGTCAGCATCACTACCGTTGTGTTATCCTAACACCTCACCTCCTGTTTGAATGCAGTGAACTCATGTTTGAGTGCCAGAGATGCTCTTCGAGTTCCCGTTTCCTTCCTATCAGCTTAAAGCGTCTGACGGTGTCACAGTGCCACCTGGTGGAGCGCAGCCTGAGCTCGCCCATCTCACACTCATCACGTCAAAGAGCTTAAAAACCTTTATTGGAAACCATGTAGCAGCATTTCATTAAAAAACAAACAAAACAAATCATGTAGAGACATTTTTGGGATAAAAAGGTCAAAGTTCAAGACAGTCAACATTTAGCTTCTGAAGCCCGGCTGGTTCACCTGTCCATCAAGGTAGCCAAGCTACTGGTCCCCAAGCAGAACATGGCCACACTGTGCCCATTAAAAAGGAAAACGCACGCACGCACGCACGCACGCACGCACGCACGCACGCACACGCACACACACACACGCGCACGCAGTTCCCATCATGCTCAGCCCACTTTATAGCAGCACGTAGAGCCAAACACGACCCTAGAAATAGTTTGGGGGCAAATGAGGCCACTAATAGATTTAAGCGCGCACGCTCGCACTAAAGGTCTCCTCAGTTTGGCCTCTGCATAGAAAATAAAGGCGTGGTTGGACTTGATCCGAGCGTTCAGCAGCACCGCTAATAAAAAGCATGAAAACAAAGTCTCTTCTGCTCGCGCTCAGACCGGAGCTTAAGCACGTCCCCTTGGCGGTGACGCGTCTCCTCGCTGCTGTTTCCCTCCCTGGAATTAAAATTTTAATCTCAGCTGAAACTCAAATCCAACACGCCGAGCTTTCCTGTCCCGCCGGCGTCAGCAGCGCTCTGCTACTGGGGGGGCGGAGACTCCATGCTGGCTCTGATCTTAACCACGGTGGCCTCGCCTCGATCCGGCTCTTCGGTCTTCTCGCTGCTCAGGGGCGGAGTCAAGACGCCCGAGGGGACGGGGCAGCCGCCGTGACACTGCAGCTCCACCTCCTGGTAGGAGTACGCCTTTTCCTGTAACACAGCAGGAACACGCATGTGAAAAAGCACACGTTTGGACCTTTTTCCACATTTACTACATCCTGTCCCCATCGACACCTGCGGTACACGCCCAGGAGTCTACATAACTCCGCCCTCTATCTGCCACCTGCGATGACCGCTCAGGCCTCAACCTCGCTGCAACCCATGCTGGAAAAAACGACGTAAGTTTTCCTCGGCTCTCAGGAGGAAACGGAAACAATCCTGAGCAGTTTTCTGGATCCTGTCTTTAAAGTTTTTGTGTGAACATTTAATGTCATTTTTTTCAACCATTAAAGCGCCGATCGGTCATCGCCGCCGCGACGGAGTTCTTCTGCTTCGAGCTCGTTTAACCAGAGGTGGCAGCGCGTTTCACGTTTTTCTGCCGTCGTTCATCATTTTTACAAAATTGTTCTGTCTGAATTTCTGCTCTGATATTAACGCTTTGGGGGTCAACGCACACGTGGGCGTGTCCTAATCACACGACCAATGTAAGGCGACATGGAGATGCAGTGATCTATAGACAAGTTTTTAAACTTCCCCTTGTGGGACTAATAAAAATATCTCATCTTATGTCGAGAGGCCACGTAGATCCAGAGATGATAAAAAATCTCTGGATCTACGTCCCAGCCGTCTCCTCTGTCTTATAGTGGACAGAAACTATTTTTTGGAGCGGCACAAATACAAATAAAATTTGTGTGACTCTTATTTGATGCAGAACAGCTGGTTGTTCTGTAAATACTTTGAAATGGTTATAAAAAAATATGCTTGGCTGCATTTTTCGGTAAATGGCTGCAAAAAACTTTTTTATTTGCAAAACTTGTGCATAGTTTTTAAAACTTACAATTTTTGCATTTCAAGTTATGAAAATTATTCTTTAAACATGTTTGTGTTTGTTACAGTAAAAAATAAAACTCTGATTTTATGTTTGTCTGATTTCAGATCAGTTGTGTTAACACGATAAACTGAGACACGAGGTTGTCCTGAAAGAACGAAACCAAACAAGGCGAGAAGCCGTTTTGAAGGTGAAATAGTCAAAAACAGCCGATTGTGCCCCGGAGCGACAAACTTATCAATAAAGTTACAAACCGGTGACTGTGAGGGGAAATAAACAAACGCACGCACACACACACAGCTGTTGGACCTACCAGCCAGGTCACGTAGGGGGCGTGTGTCTGGATGTTGTGCATGTCATCCGCAGAGATTCCCGGGAACGTTTTCATCGGCGAGCTGCCGACCTCTCGCAGCGCCATCGCAAACGGCACCATCCACCTCACGCACTCCTCCACCTCCACCCTCTTCAGAGCTGCACGGACAGAAGGAGGAGGAGGTGAGTCGGGGTGGAGTCACACCAGCAGGGACAAACAGGAAGTGTGGAAAAGGATTTTTACCTGACACGTTCTCCACCAGCTCCAGGGACGAGAAGTGAAAGAGCGCCGAAGCAGCGAGAACGCCGTTAGAAAACTCGAGGCAGCGCACGTCCAGCATGCACAGGTCCAACAACTGAAAGCAGACGCACCATCAGAGACACTCGGCGGGAGACAGACGGTCCCACCTCAGCGAGAGACGCTCGTCTCCGAGCACATCGGCACAATTCATTTATGGTAACAGACGGCGTACCTCTGCGATGTGCGTGAAGGTGGCCTGCGGGTATCTGGGGAGGAGGAGCTCGTCCGCGTCCTTCAGGTAAGCCACCTGCATGTAAACATTGAGCCAGGACACGGGAGTCTGTGGGCTCAGGCTCCACTTCAGCTCCTAGAGAGAAGACGAGTCCACGTTAGACACCCAACACTCCCATCTGACGCAGGTTTAAGGGCTGCGATGACAGAATGACATCACTTCCTGTTGACATCACGAAATGATGCGTTCACAGCTTTGGCCGTTTGCTGGTTGTTGAAATAGTTTTGTGAGCTTTAACCTGAGATTCTGGCGAAATACATTTATATTTAAAATAGATCCAGGATTTAAGGAATCGAGATCACTTGATTCAAACTAAAATTGATCTTTTTAAACACAATGAGCATCATTAAACTGCTCAGATGGCTCCGCCCCTTCCTGAGCCCGGTTCTCCTTGAGGTTTCTTCCTGTTTTTCCTTCCCACTGTCACCAGGTGCTGGCTCATAGAGGACCGTCTGGCTGCTGGGGCTTCTCTGTACCTGACGGTATAAAGCACCTTTGACGCTGCATAAATCAAGCTGAATTAAATGGACCAAACAGTGAAATTGTCACCGAGTCTTCAGCTGAGAAACCAAAGGAAACCTGATGACGCCACAGAGGCCGTGTCTCACAGGTGAGGACACAGGTGTGCTCAGAGGTCGGTTAAGGCCGAGGCAGGTCGTGCGTTTTACCTTCATGACGATGATCTCCATGCTGAGGATCTCGTCTTCTGTGCAGGCCTCGTCTGTCACGTAGGCAAACTGGTGGACTTTGGGAGGATACATCTCCTGGGAGAGAAACATTTAAAGATAAGAAACGCAGCAGACACGCCGCAACAAAGCACCCGCACGGTACCGAAGAGCTCCGCCCTCCCCACCTCGACTTTGGCGGCAATGAACAGGCAGGTGATGCCGACGAGCTGCAGCGTGGATTTGAGGACGTTCCTCTGGGTGGCCATGAAGCGATCAAAGTAGTCCTGAGCGAGGTGGTACGTCTCCCTGTGCAGCCTATAGACCTCGCTCACCTGACACACACACACACACACACACACACACACACACACACACACTAAGGTGACTGCATCTTTACTGTTTATCCATAGATGAATGATTTCATGGTTTCCGGGACGCCGAGCTGCGTCTGCCGTGGATCGTCCACAGTAAAACCTGCAGCCTGGAGCTAAAGGTTAGCGTAAAGCTAAAATCTCACGTATAGACACACCTGAGATCAGGTGGTGCTGCAGGTTCACAGACTCAGTACTGACCTCCATGAGCCAGTCCAGGAGGATGGCCCTCATCTTGGGCTGCAGGTGTGGATGTTTGTCCATCATGTGGACGTCTCTGGTGTAGGACTTGTCCTTCTCCAGCATGTTGTTCCACACGGCGTCCTTACTGGCCCAGCTGACAGACACAGAGTCAAACAGATTGCTGACACGGGACAGGTACAGGTGACAGATTAAAGGAAAACACCCCCGACCACTGAGGGCTGAGCAGCCATCAGCACCACTCACCAGAGCGCGGGCAGTGGCGCGTGGTGCACGGGTGTCACACATGTGGTGTGGAAGCTGTAATGAGGAAAGCTGGCGTTGACCAGGGGCACGAGCGGGCACTCCTCCTGATCAGGCGTGGAGATCCACCTCTGCGGACTCACGCGATCAGCTGCAGGACTCCAGCCCGGCTGGGAGACAGGAAGAGCTCGGTTAGAGTCGAAAAAGGGTGGAGGAGGAACACACGCCTCCAAGACTGTGGGCGTGGAGTCGCTGCAGGTAATTAGACCCACCTCACACTCGCGCTGCTTCTTCTTCTTCGTCATCTCTGCTACCTCCTCATCCAGATCCGGTAAAACCTGAGGAACAAACTGGAGTTATCGTTCTCATGCTTTTGTTATTTGGAGGCGCCCCTCCTGTGGACCGCGCTTGGTGTCAGGTGATCAGCCTTCAAATCGTCTTCCTGGCAAAGCTAATAAGTTAGGGCTGGATCAGGTGACCGCTGACCTTCCACCTGTCGGCGGTGCCACGGGCTGCAGTTACAAAAAACCTGAGCTTAAAGACGCGCTCTGCGCCTCAGATGAAGGCCCACTGCTTCTGTCAGCTCTCCTCACTGTGGCTCTAATATGATGTCCAACATTGTTGGAACCCTGCGTGACCCTCTTTGTGACAAAACACATCAATGACCCACCCCAGCAGAGTGTGTGTGGGGGGGGGCCCTGCTGGACACTCACAATAGCAACATCTGCCTTCCTCTTCCTCGGTCGGACTGTGGTGTGTTTGGGGGCCTCGGCAGGAGCACTCTTCGCTTCTGTGTCTTCCCTGAAACAAGCAAAGCAAACAGCAGCTGTTAGCGAGCGCTGCCATGTCCACAATCAGCCGAACAAACCCGGGTTAGCACGGGTAAACGCTCACACGGTCCAGAAACAACAGGCTAGTTAGCCCGTGAGGCTAAAGCTCCTGGTGGCTCTTCCTGCGTGGGCCAAACTCACCGTGTTCCTCTCATTATAGTCGGGGCCGTGGAAGCGTCCGTGGGAGCAAACCTGTGGACGACAAACGACTTGAAATTTAGACTTAAACAGCCGTAAAAGTTCGACGTACAGCGGCCCCAACCCCCACTCCGAGCCGCCTTCCTCCCGACAAAGCCCGGCTCAGCCTGGCGCGGAGAGCGGGGCAGCAGGCCGCTTCCAAGTGCCCCCAAAGCCCCCCCACCGGACCTCGGAGACCCGGGAAACTGCCCCGACATCCACGCCACACCGAGCAAGGTTGGTCTGAGGCGGCCACGGGGCTCGGTTAACCGAAAACAGCGATATTTTACCGAGTCCGGCTGCACATCATGGCCGCCTGATGCGGACACGGAGCGGCCAACAAAGAGCCGAACCCCCGGGGGCTGTCCACGTCTGGACCGGAGACCGTGGGGGTTTAACGTGGGAGCCTGGGTCACATTACGCTGCAGGCAATCAAGCCCCAATTCTACTCACGCAAACTTTTAGCCAGCTGCAGAAACTCACCTCAAGTTCCTCCCTTGAAGTTCACCCTGCTCCGCCGAGAGCTCCAAAAGAAGGTTTAACCCCGCAGTGGGTTCTCCAGGTGTGTGCTCTCTGTCCTCCAGTGCTCTCCTGCTCGCGGTGCCCGGGATTCTGAGCTTAGGCCGGGCTAACTGCTCCGAGCTGGCGCCTCGCAGAGCGCAGATGAGCTCCACGTCAGGAGGCGTAGATTCCAGTTGGCGCTAAATCTCCACCCTCTGCGCCGCTTTACAGCCGCATTGAGCTGCGTCACCTCAGCCGCTCACCTGTGCAGGGCACGCGGCAGGTATGCTGGCTGAACTCTACGCGGATGGTCGCGAGCGTGAAGGAAACGGTGAGTTTTTAGTTTTGCCGGTAAAAATGGGGGCGTGAGTGCCGCGCTGACAGCTGCGAGGGGCGGATCTTCGCAGACCGGAAGCGCTCGGGCACCGCGTGGCTGTGTGTCAGATGTAAACAAAGGCAGAAGCGGCGCAGAAAGACGCGGAAAACGACGCAAAGCGGGCAGAATGACGCAGCAAGTGAGCGAGCGGGTTCCGTGCACGTTACCTTCAGTGTCTGTCACCGGGACCAGGCTGTGATTCAGCGGGAAAATGAAGCGTATCGCCTCCCACATGTCCACTGCGGGCTGCCGTACTCGAGCCAGTCGCCCCGCCTCCGACTGCAACGGAGTGACCCGCTCAGCCGCCTCCGGACTCCTCCCCGGGCTCCCAACTTCACCATTAAATCTGATAAAGTGGCAGGAGGCGAACCAACCTTTGACGTCAGCAAATCTGTGGCTGCTGGTCACGTGATCACATGACAGCGTCCTCACACGGTTGTTGCTGCAGGCTGAATATGATCATTCATTAGGTTTTAATAACCAGCTTATACAGGAAATGCAATAACGTCACATCGGTACCATCCTTCCTCCTGCTGCTGAGACATGACCCGTAACAGAGCTCAGCATCTGCATTTACAAACACAGCAGCACAGGTCAGGACAGTGGAGACTTCCACGATGATCCCTGTGCGCTGTGGGAAGCACCGAGGCTTCCTCGTGATTTACAGACAGCTCTGATCACAGGAGGAGAAATGGAGCAGGAGTAATCCTGAAGGAGGAGCCTGAGCAGTGCTGTGGAGGTGAGGAGGCAAGGTCACCAGTATGAAGCGTGAGGTCGAAGGGTGTCAGTGTGTACGCCCCGCAGGGTGGAGGTCAGAGGGGTGGAGGAAGGTACAGAAGGTGTGATCTGAGCGAGATATGACACTGTGAGGTGGTGTCAGGGAGGATGTAGCTGGGCAGTATCGGATGGTTGACTGCAGGGTGACTTTGGACATCAAGAAGAGCAAGTGAGTGAAGGAAGGATGCTGGGAAAGTAAAGCTGAGGGAAACTGCAGGGAGTGTCCTCTGGACAAAGGAAGGAGGACAAGGAGGCTTGGTGTGGACCCAAAGCAATGAACGGTGCACTAGAGAGGTGAAGAAGGCAGGGCGGAGCGGGTGGAGATGAATGTCAGGGGTGATTCGTGACGGAAGGGTAGCAGCACGAGACAAAGGGAAGGTTCAAAGACAGCAGTGAGCTCTGCTGTTTGGAGATGGCAGAGGATGAGCTGAAGATGTTCAGACGTTCACTGGGAGTGAGAAGGAGGAGTCCATCAGAGGAGCAGCTGAGAGGGTGAGATGGTTTGAGCATGTGCAGAGGAGCTGCCAGGTTGATGGAGCTGCCAGGTGCAGGACGACTGCTTTGAGTTTCCTGCGGTCGGCACGGAGCTTCGAGGTTTGCTGCTACATGAAGAATAGAAGTTTTAATAAGTGGGTGAAAGTGGAGGAAGGAGAGTCTGAGAGGAAACCCAGAGCCAGGTGAGTGCAGACAAACATTAATGGTTAAACTTCAGCTTCCTCAGAGAGCGTAAAAGTTAAATAGATGAAACACGTCCTGCTTCCTCCTGATTCACAGCCAGGAAACTTGTTCCAGAGATGATTGTGTTCGTATCTGCGGTGAAGCTGAAATACTCTTTTTGTTTGGTGAACAGAACAAAGTCGACCTTTGGTCAGTCACATGACCCCCTCCTGAGAACGACACAAACAGGTTTCATTCTGTGGCGTCTGCACAGAAAGAGAAGGATGAAGTTTTTGGGGCTGTTTGGGCGTCTAAAATCCGTCGTTATCGGAATGATTCACGTGAAAGCGTTGCCAGGTAACAGAGTCCACCTGTCGGCGTCCTCCAGGTTCAGGTGAAGTGTTTGGTCGTGGCAGGGGGAGGTCAGTAAGAGCACAGAGGTTTGCAAAATGTGGTTTCAGGGTGAGCTGGCGTCCAGCTTCGCGTGGGCCTGCGTGTCATCAAGACAACATCGCACATTCTGATTGGCTCAGATTTAGCTGATATGTGACATTTTCCTGCGTACGCTGCGCTCAGACATGAGCTTGATTAAGTCAGACGTGTAACATTTCAGCCTCGCACACCGGTGTGGTCGCCCTGTGACGGGGCAGTTGAACTTTATTTAACCAGGACAATGTGAGTCGAGATCAAACATCCCTTTTGCAGGCTGAGACTCGCAGCAGTACAGTCGGACCCTGAACCTCGGCCCCGTTCTCCTGTCCAAACAAGGCCTGCTCTCACTTTTTCTGCTGTCATGACCTTTGACCTTTCACACACTAACACGCACTTTGTGCACGCTCTGACCTTGGGGTAAACTTGCTGGGACGTCCACTCGTAGGAATATTTTGGGATTGTGTTAACACACCTGCAAACAGACCAAAGCTCTGCTTTTACAGAGGCGCTCACACCGCTGATGATCAGTTGGTCAATAACCTGCATCGATTAGCAGCAGCTGATAGTTTCTCACACGCTGCGTTTTGGTTTAGTGTTGAATAAATAAGGACACGCTGTAAATATGCGGTGTTTTGTTGTTCGTCCAGGTGATCATGGTTGTGTCCTGATGTGTCACCAGGTGTACTCGTGACTTTGAGTAGGAGGAGCTGCAGAGAAAAACATCACAGTTTGCGCTCGTATTCTTGTACATGCATGATGTGCACATCGGTGCCCACATCCTTAAGTGTTGAGGGTACTCTTTGAGACCCTTTATAACAGGCTCCTCCTCTTCCTCAGGTAGCCCACTGGGCTCCTTGAAAATGTCTAAAATCAGCGAGGCGGCGTGCCGGGAGGCAGCGATCTACAGAGACGCAGGGGTTGTACGTTTGTGCACGTTGTTTGCGTTCCTCACAGCTCTGCAGTCTGCACAGGCGAGGAGCTAACCGAACCTCCAATCCCGTCTTTCAGGATGGACTGATCGTTGAAAACATGCACGATGTGCCGTACTCTCTGAGCGCGGGCCCCGAGGTGAGCGCCTGCATGACCGCCGTCTGCTGCAGCGTTAGGGCCGCCTGTCCGTCCCTGCCTATAGGAGCGCAGATCCTGACTGCAGCCAATCAGCAGGCTCTGGCTGTGGCTCTGGCTTCAGGTTCAGTTGTTCGTTCAGTTCATGTTGATGTGTTTGGAAAGATGCAGGACGTGTGATCAGCACGGTGACGGCGCTGTGTGCTTCCAGGCCTGGACTTCATCAGGGCTGAGGGCTTCGTCTTTGCTCACGTGGCAGACGAAGGCCTCCTGAACGCCGGCGCCGGGGAGTTACTGCGGTACCGCAAACAGATCGGAGCTGAGCACGTGCAGATCTTCACCGACATCAAGAAGAAGCACAGGTGAGGTCACCTGCTGTGCAGTTATAGTAAAGAATGAAGTACTCAGTGATGCAAGAAGACGTGAAAACACTTCCTGTGTCTGAGTACAGCTGCAGATAATCAGGATGAGCGGCCGGCCAACAGTCATTCATGCCTGTCACAGCTGAGCTTTCAGGCACTGGGACGTGAATGGGGCCAGCCTGGGCCAGAGAGGTGTTAAAATGTGTGTCAGCACCTTGGCGAGCTCTTAGGCCGTCCTGGATGTTGCCTGGACCTGCGGCTTTCATGTTGATGGTGCCCTGTGGTGTCCTTCTGGTGTCTACTGCAGACACACTGAAGGGCAGCTCACCTGCTGCTGTGGGAGGAGCATCCACCTCACTGAGCAGCAAATCATGAAACTTTCACACAAGGTTTGCTTTTTATTACAGTGCAAAGCACTTATCATCTCCAGTGTGTAACATCCACACATGCCTCTGTGTGTGTGTGTGTGTGTGTGTGTGTGTGTGTGTGTGTGTGTGTGTGTGTGTGGCGGTGACCAGCTCTCACGCCCTGACGTCAGACGTGAGCGTCGCAGAGACGGCGCGTGCTGCTGAGTTCTTCCTCTCAGACGGCGTCATCATCACAGGAGCAGCCACAGGACTGCAGGCCGACCCCGAGGAGCTCCGAGGTCCCGCCCCTGCCGCGCACACGCACACTCTGTCCAGATGTTAGCCTGACTCTCGTCACTCACTGCATTTTATCACTTTATCGTCTACAATCAGACTCCTAGCAGCTTCTCGTCACTGCTGAGATTAACGCTGCAGAATATAAAAAGGAGACATTACAAGGATTTTTATTTTGAAATTAAAATCTAAAGTTAAAATCTCAGGTCAGGTGACTCCTGTTAGAGCTGCAGAAAGGATTCACCTGCATGCAGCACAGAAACAGCTGATTGGCTCTGCAGGGTTCAGGTGTGTCTTCATCAGCTGTGCTGCGTGGGTGGATGCACACTTCATTTTATTCTCAGAACAGTATTTCACAACATATCAGACATTTTTTTAAGCCCCCTCACCTCAGGTCCTCCTGCTTTTACCCCGTTTGTCCAGAAGAGGTCCCCCTCACCCCGAGGGAGAGAGGGCCGCGGGTCGCACTCGAACCACTGAGCTAAACCGGCGCCCAAAGAGTCTGAATTTTAAATGTCACACTCACAGCAGGGGGTCAAGCCCACCTGAGCTGTTTGTGGGAGATAAATCCACTCGTTTTTCCCTCTGTGTCTTTAAGTGATCAGAGTAGAAAAGAACCAGTCCATTTCCTATCGAAAGCTTAGAAATGAAAGTCATGGCTCCACCGACATTCACTGAGATAAACCCAGAGCTATTCCTGCCCTCAGGTGTTACTGATGAGTGCCGTGTTTTTGTGCTTCCTCATCTGTAGGTCCATTTCCTGTTTAAAACATTTAAGCAATCAGCGTTGAGGTGCTGCTCTGCAGTAATCAGTCAGTAAGGTTTGCATCAGCTCAGGTTACTGAGTCTGAACTCTGCACCGCGTCCTCGCAGCAGCAGCCAGGATATTTATAGCAGCCGGACACTCAACCCTGTAAACAGTCTGAGTGCTGTACATGCCACTGCTGCGCGCACACACACACACACAGGTGCTGGTCATGTTCAGACACCAGGTCACGCGTGTGAGCGGAGGTTCACTGAGTGCAGCTCTGCAGGTGGTGAAGGCGTCTGAAGCGTATTTTCTATTCTGTCACACTCTAATGTGTCAGTCTTATATCTGCCACACCCCTCTGTGCACAGGCAGGAGACTCTGGCAGGTCAGAGAGGGCACGCCTCAGGTGAGCAAAGTCATTATGAAGCCAGAGAATATGCATGCAGTCAGCCTGTTTGCACACACACTGTCCTGCACCGACCCAAAGGTCCTGCGCAGCATGCAGCAGATGCCTTTGAGCTCCAAGGAGTTAGCGCTCGGTGATGATGTTTATATAGCAGAGGCTGCTCCAGGCGAGATAAACAAACCACGCATGCTAGCAGCGGCTGCGTTTTAGTTAGCAATGCTTCGACCCAAGGTCCAAACAGCTGACAGTAAACGAGGCAAACGTATCAGAGACAGGGCCCAAAGACCAGGTCCAAAGTCCAGAACAGAGTCCCAACACGGACCCAGGAAAACACTCTGACTGTGTCAGGGAACAGAAGGATCATCAGAGTGGGAACAGGTGTGACCAGGTGAGACTAATCAGGGTGGGTCACATATCGACTGAGAGGCAGGAAGTAGCACCACAGCAGCCCTCACCCCGACGCCTCTCTGTGCTGAGTCCAGCCTGCAGTGCGTTTAGTAGCGATCTACTAGATTCCTTTGTAATATTCAGAGGTTTAAATGAAATCTAAATGATCTAATTCAAATTCTAAAGCTCGTTGCTCACAGCCTCAGGTGGACTTCAGGGTTTGTAAGTCTGGAGGGTTGAGATGCGTTCGTGTGCTGCTGGACGGTGGGAAACGAAGCTTTCGACTGCTGACGTGTTCTTAAATAGAAATTCATTAAAGTGATTTTTTCTGTTTTTCCAGACGTTTCCCAGTCTGTGGGAATCCCCGTGCTGATTGGCTCAGGAGTGACCTATGACAATGTCGAGAGCTACCTGGATGCAAACGCGATGATAGTGGGCTCCCACTTTAAGCTGGGCGGGCACTGGGCCAACGAGGTGGACCCGCAGCAGGTGAAGAGGTTCATGGGGAAAATCCGGAAGCTCCGGCAGTGAACGAGCCCACCATGAAGACACGCAGACCGCAGCTTTAGAAAATCTCAAAAACTTTATTTTGCTTTTTTAAAACATTTTATAAATACACACAAATAAAAATTTAAATTTCACATTTGTGTCAAATAAAAAGTAGAAAAGCAGCAGGAACGCTGCAAAGGTCAAGAGGTCAACTCATCACACACTTTAACACGCAGAAGAAGAAGAGCGAAGCCGCCAAAATGACAGATTTGAACACGGCGACAGAGCACGAAGCTCTGACATCATCCACATTAATCTGAGCAGTGACTGTTCTGCCGCGCGGCGCTCGCCCTGCTGACAATAAAGTTTACAGAAGAATGAAAAACGTGTGGTTCTTTCAGCTGTTTGATTACTGCACAGGAAGTGGTGAATGTCACGTGATGTAACGGCGAGGTGAAGCCTGAGCGGCGCCGATATCGGAGTCAGTAGTTGTAGAGACGCTGGCAGGGCTGCTTGAAGTGTCCGTAGCGCCGCTCTGCAGGGCAGAAGCGTGTCTTGGTGAGGTTCTGCCTGTGAAGGGCGCCACGGCTCAGCTTCCTGCCTTCAGCACGGCTCCTGCCACGCTGCGCCGCCGGCAGCTGGATGTTGTACAGCAGAGGAAGCCCCCAGGCGGCGAGACGCCAGGATACATGCCGCCTTACCGCCACAGGCCTGGAGAGACACACAGGAAGCCACATTATAAACCACGCCCACCTGCCCTGCTGTCTTCTTCTGTGTTTGTAAAACTGGTTTCAGATTATCTGAATGAAAGCATCGTCAGCATCATAACCTTGAGGTTTCCTCTTCATCAGAGCCCGGCTCCTCCTCCTCGGCTCCACCCACCCCGCGTCTCATCTGGTAGACGGACATGCTCGGGTGTTCGATCAGCAGGTTCTCGAGGAGGTCCCCGTCTGGAGCCGACAGAAGCCCGTCCTCTGCACGAGGACCAGAGATGTTTAGAAGCATCGGCGCTGCAGCGTGTACACCTGAAGCAGGTTGACTTTCTCACCTGGCAGGTTAACGATGACCCAGCCCTCGTCCTCGAACTCCCGCAGCGTCTCGTGTTCTTCTCCTGCTGACTCCTGGTCCTCGCTGGCATTCCCGATAAGCTGAGCAAGAATCTTTCCGATCATCCCGACGTTTCTGACAGCACCTGTGGATAAAGAGCAGCACACAGGTGAGATCATCACAGGTAAAAAGCTTCCCTCATGACGCCGAGGCCTCAGAAACCTGAGCAGCTCGAACCCAGGTGATGTTCCACAAAGACAGGAAGCCGGGTCGTGACCTTTCACCTCCTGTTTCCACATTACTGCTCAACTGCAGTTTGTAAGATCTTAAAATAATAAAACTTGATTTTCTATTAAACTGAGAACCGTTATTCCTGTGTGTGTTTGTCCTGCTCACATGTTGACTGCAGCTTCGCTTCATCACGTGACCCTCAGCTTCATCGTGTTTACAGAAACATCTGCGCGTGAAACGCAACAGAAGTGCACGCACTCACTAACAGACACGCGCCTCTGTGCGTGCGTGTGTGTGAGAAACAGACCTCGGCAGGACTCCGTGTACCTCCAGCTGGAACAAGCACCCCTGCCCGTGCTCAGGTACGGCGGAACAGAGACTCTAACACTAACCGCGTGCAGGTCAAAGGTCACGCGTGGGTGTAACTAAAGATTCAGACCCACCTGCTCCGATAAGTCGATGTTTTTGCTGCTCTGAAGCTTCCGGTTCTCTCTGTGCTTGTTTTCATCCACAGGTTGTTTATCTCACACAGGCTCCTCCCCCGCCGCCTCAAACGTCACCAAAATCCACCCAATCAGGCGGAGCGTATCTCACTGCATCACACGTAAACAAACAAAGCCCCGCCCCCTGCCCCGATCCTCGCACTGAGCCGAGTTCAGCCGGGCAGACCCGGCAGGCCTGAGGTCACTCCTCAGCGTACCGGTCAGGGTCAGAGGTCACCGGAAGCAGGTTATCAGCTCGCTGGGTTAACCCGCGCGCTCAGCGATCTGGAGCTCAGCAATCACAAACACGGATGAGGGTAACGTCTTTGTGGCAGTGTGACGCAACAGGAAGTAAAAATAGGAAGAAAGCGTGAAATAAAGATGCAAATAGCATAAATGTAAACATGTCAGTGATGGACGCGGAGGCTGCTCCAGCTCGCTGTGCCGGTGCTTGGACCGCGCTCTGTTTCTCTTTATGAAACGGTGATATTAGGATGCGAGGAGGTTAAATAGTCCCTCCGCTCTCAGACAGGAAACAAGACAAACAGGATTCAGACGCAGGATCAGATATGAATGTTTGTCACAGCTACAAGGTCCCGAGTCCCACAATCACCCCACTCGGGGCGTGTGTGGGACGCAGCTTCAATGAAACAAACGCTTCACATATTAAAACAAAGGGGGCGGCGCCTCCTGGTGGCAGCCGCAGGTGCTGCAGGTGAGGACAGCGAGGTCCGATTTACTTCATTTTTCTTCCATTCAGCAGAAGAAGAAGAAGTGAGTCAAACATAAAACACAGAGACGTCCTCTGGTCTGAAGTTCGGTAACGTCCGACCAAACAAACAGCCGAAGGAGGTAAAAGCTAAACAGAATGAATACAATAAGAACAACAAGCAGATAATTAAATATAATATTTAATAAAGTAAAATGTGAAGGACAGAGCGAAGTGCACAACAATTTAAAACAATATACGAGCAACACAATGAACAATATACCACAATATCAAAACAATCTAAATCCTTATATACAGAAACGAACACAGCGCGCTGCAGGATGCTGGGAATGAACCGAGCTGACTTTCAAAACACGAAGAAAGAATTTAGTTCTTTTTTCTTTTTAATTCAAGCGACGTAGCGAGCTGCAGCGACCAATCAGAACTCTCCGTGTAGAAACTTTGTTTGAAGTTTCTCCGGTCTCCGGCTTGTTTAGTGCGCATGTGCTCTTTGAGCGCATCAAACTTTGTGCGCATGCGTTCGTTAAACAAAAGTAGAGTGAAAGTAGAGCGTGAGTGTTTTAACTTGAGTTCCTGAGCGCACCGGACCATCTTCTCTCCGTTTCTCCGGTTGTGTTCAGCGAAGAAGAATCAAACAGGCTCGTTTGTTTCCTCCTTCATTGATCTGCAGAGCCGGAAGTTGTCTACAGTTTGCGGACAGTGACGGACTGAAGGTAAGCAGAATGTGTCCCGATCAGCTGTGTGACCTTTGACCTCTTCAGCCTCACACAGAGAGGGGAACGAGTCTGAGTGGTCGGTAAAAAAAAAGTCCCGAGTTCGCAGTTGAATCCAACCGGTTCAGATTATCCGACTCTGTGAGTCAGACAGAGCAGCTGATGTTCACGTCCTGACTCTGTAGTTACTTCTTGTTTGCCGGTGTGCTACACCTGTCACTGCCGAGCCCGTCCCACCAAACTCCGCTCAGAAACCGTCTAATTTAAGTCCAACTGCTGTAATTGTGCCCGACGCGTTTACACGGAGCCTGTCCTGAATCCGGAGCTCTGACAGCCCCCCTAAGAAACACGAAAGCTAACGCAGCAGGGCCGTGGATGTGGTTTATTCGAGTAATTATAATGATTATAGGCCGTCTGATGGTTTCAGGCTGCGTTGGAAAGTAAAAGTGAAACCAAGCTGTGGTCCTTTCCGTGCCTCAGGCATGTGTGTGACAGTTTTATGCAAACAGGCTGAAGGTGGATGACACTCTGCTCTTTGAATCTCACTTTTCTTTGTTACATGTCACAGTCAGCAGCTGATGGAAAACTGAAACTGGTTTTTATTTTAGGGTCAGACGTGCTGCTTCCACTTTTGTGTCTGTGCTGCATTTCTACTGTATGTTATTTCTATTCATGCGTCATCATACAGCTGCACATTTGGCACAGGTGGATGCTGGGAAAGGTGGAGGCGGAGCAGAAGGAAGAGAAGGAGATGCGAGAAAAATCGCAACCGCTGAGCAGCGTAGGCTCGGGTTGGGTGGTTGGTGTGGTCGCAGATAGACACGGAGTCAGTACACACGTGACCTCGTGTCGCACACGCGTGTGTTACTGTGACACGCTGTGTGTGACGTTAGTCACCGCTGCCTCTCTCACGGAGCTCACACACTGTTGCATCAATGATGCAGCAACCACAGAAATGCGATTAAAGATGTGACAGCTGCGACACGCTAACAGCAGATTTACCTGTGAAACTGACGCTGGCAGCTCGCCTGTCCCAGGTGTGCGTCGCTGTGTAAGGAATAACCACTTACACTCCTCTTCATTTTTGAACCTTGTTTTCAGGAAAGACACCACGTGGAGTCGCAGAGATGCCCGCCCGGATGGACGACGTCATGCGTTTGTGCTGTGAAGTGTCGGCTCACGAGGAGATCAAGGTCGCCGTGAAGAACTCCACCAAAGGGGCGATGGTGGCGGGAGGATCTGCGTTTGTGGGCGGGCTGCTCGGTGGACCTCCGGGGATCGCTGTCGGTAAGTAGAAGAAGGAGGAATTAAATCTGCTGATTCAGCAGAAGGAGATAAAAAGACATAAAAGGAAACAGAGGAGGACGCTGGGTTTGAGTTTGTCGGTTTAAACCTGACTGTGGACTAGGCCGCGTGTTTGCCACAGCTGTCAGAGTAATAACACGCTCTGAGGATTTGTGCTTTTTGTGGTAGAAGGCAGTAAACACGAGCAGGTTCGAGTCCTCTGCAGTAACTGCAGGTAAGAAGACGTTTGGAGGCTTTAGTTGCTGCAGTGATCGTCACGCGGGCAGCCTCAGTAACCTGGACCAGCAAAGTCCTCCCCACACAGCAGCCATCTTGAAAGGCCTCTGGCGTTATGTAAATCGCTTTGTGGCCGACAGGAGAGTTAAAGCACGCCTGTGTGAACGAACAGGTAAAGGCAGAGCCGTTTCACATGAGCGAGTTTACCTGATTCACTGTGTGACGATTATTTTTAGCCACACGCTGAATTTAGTCGTTTGCATTGATGGAAACACAGACGCACTTTGGTCACCAAAGTTTGTAAATCTGGTAACTTGAGAACGAGGCGACGCAGAGTTTAAAGTTCACAGCACGGTGCGTGTACTAACATCTCATTTGATAAGAGGTCAAGGTCAGAGGTCAAGTTTTCTGAAACTCTGGCGAAGCCCATAATTCAACAAGGGAGTCACAAGTTTGTCCACCAGGAGGCTTTATGTCCTCACAGGTGCTCACATGCATGGCCTGAAAGCACACGCCTTAACACGCTCTGATCTTTTCCATAATAGATATATATAATCAATCAATAAATGTATTGATGTGAACAGCCTGTGTTTAAAGCTTTAGACGTTTAAAGTTGGACGTGGCTGACCTCGGCCACAGCTGTTACTTAAGCTTGTTTACGCCTGTGTGTGCGCCTCTGACGCGCTGGTGTTCTTCTTCTGCGTCTCTGTCAGGCGGCGCCGTCGGCGGTCTCCTGGGCAGCTGGCTGACCAGCGGGCAGTTCAGACCTCTGCCTCAGATCCTGATGGAGCTGCCTCCCCCGCAGCAGAGGCAGCTCTACGAGTCCATCACGGCCGTCTTGGGGAACCTGGACTGGACGGACGCGGCCCAGCTCGTCTCGCTCGTGATGGGGAACTCCACCCTCCAGCAGCAGGTCGCCGCTGCCTTAATTAGCTACGTCACCAAGGAGCTGAGAGCGGAGGTGCGCTACAAGGACTGAGGGATGGTTCCACGTGGACCTGACCTTTGAACTGAATCACGGACGTCTGCAGCTCACACAGACGAAGTTCTCAGTAATGTTTGTGCAGCACTGATGTCTTTGTTACTTTGGCTTTTTTAATCCCTGAATGGGACCAGCGTGTAATTTAATCTGGATTAGAAAATCTGCTCATTCGCACACTCTGCATCAGGGTCTTTTTAGAGTGCTCCTGCTCTCAGCTTTCAAGCTTTTCATTCAATATTTGTTCAGCAGCTTTGATGACTGACAGCTCAGCGACGACCTCAGCTGGTACGCTGTAAAATGATTACTCCCCCCGAAGGCCGAGGGCTGGTACTACACCTCTGATGTTTTTTATCATGTTTTTACTGCAGCGTGTTATGACATCATTGTGACACTGCAGGACGTTGCATTGGACAAATAAAAACTGTGTTGTACAGCTCTCTGCGTCGCCTGTCACACAACGCATTTCTCATACTACTTATTTAATCTGTCTCTCTTCCACAGCATGTCTTTATCCTGTCTTCCTTCTCTCACTCCAACCAATCACAGCAGATGCCCCGCCCCTCCCTGAGCCTGGTTCTGCTGGAGGTTTCTTCCTGTTAAAAGGGAGTTTTTCCTTCCCACTGTTGCCAAAGTGCTGCTCATAGGGGGTCATATGATTGTTGAGTTTCTCTGTGTGAATGATTGTAGGGTCGACCTGACAGTGTAAAGCAGCTTGAGGCGACTGTTGTTGTGATCTGTATAAATAAAATTGAATTGAAAGGTCAACATTGACCTTGGGCTTAGCCAACCTTGGTACTCGTGTCTGTCGAGGAAGACCTGGTATGTTGTTGTGAAATTTGATGAATCTATAAAAAATTGTGGGCAATATAAAGTTTTTACTGATCTTCATATTTGGTTGACTTTGACCCAATTTTCACCAAATCAGAAATCAGCTTCTGCCAAATCTCATAAACTCAGATTTTATTCTGAGTAGAAGAGAGAAAACACATCAAATTAAAATGAGAAACTCTGATGGCAGCGACACATCTGTAAAGTGGGACAGCTCCATGTTTCCTCTTCTTCAACATCAGCCTGTGATGGTCTGTGAGCTGAGGAGGGCAGCAGTCCTGGCTCTGCTGCGTCCTGTTGCTGATGCTCCAGATGTTTTCAGCTGACTCGCTTCCTATGAAGCTGTGCAGCTGGAATATTGACTTCAGTAGGTAACAGAGCTGCATTATGGAGCAGCTTGTGTCTGAGCAGGGAGGAACCTTTAGAAAGGTCAGTATTACAGAAGCAGGTAGCCTGATGGATTAACTGGTAGGATTGTGGGAGCGTAGGAAAGAGCTTAGCTTTGTCTTTAGACACCAGTCCCAAATCTCTTATGGTCCACGCTGGTCTCGTAGCCTGGGCGTCCTCATAAGGTCCTGTACCAGAAACACACCCATTGCAATGAATAGCTTTAAAGAAGAGATCGTGTTCTTAGTGAGGTGAAAGGTAAACTGGACCCACGTCAGTTTGCACAGAAGATGCTCTTGTAGCTGTTGCAGAGAATTAGTGTCACGTGGACCCAACAAAGATATTTATGGACTGTTCATCTTTAATACTGGACCACATATCTTAATGCAAAGGTTATCACAGCTTAAGGGTCACAGCACACTGATCAGCAGCAGAAGGGTGTAGAGTATGGCACCAACAGGTGGGCACACCTGTCCTGACCCGGCCTCACAGGCCACAAAGCACCAATCCCTGCTTCTGTCAGTGCGGCTCATTTAAACTGGAGGAGTGATTTACCTGACACAGCTTTGCTGTTATGACACAACATTAAAATGACAAAGTAATAGTACGAGAGCGTCTCTGGCTTTGCACTGTAAAAGTCCAAAGTTCATACTTATGTGTAGGTGAGCTTCAGGGTTCAGGATCTCAGGTGTTCCTCTGCACTGCTGCACCTGGAGTCTCACTGTGACATCATTAAAACCAGTCCTGAAAGACGTGCGTATAAAGCTAAAGAAGTATCCAACCGAAGGTGTCGGCTGGCGTGAAATATCGTTTCACATTGAAAGTGAAAATTCCTAACATGTGACAGTTGTTCCGGTGTTAAGGGTCCGGTTTGGTTTGTACGAGTAACACGAGATAAACCAGTCCAGTAACGTCCTGAAGAAATGAAACCGATGTGCTAATATGGTAAATGGGTTTATATTAAAACACTAATGAACACTGGCAGGGTCCTTAAACCTCACAGAGTGGGTAACGTGATCACACAGGTTTGGATGTTTGGAGCGTCTGTTGGAAGCACCGAGACGCCGTAAACACCTACAGTTCAGAAGCACACGGCACAGATGTGACTCGATCAGGGTACTTTCATGTCTTATTGTCTCAAAAACGATTATGATACCAACTCATCTGTTAGTCAGTGAATGAATGAGCTAAACAAAATGCTGGTCACCAAGTCAGAGCTTCAGGTTTCCGGTAAATGCCAGGCGCTGCTCCAGAAAGCAGGTTTATCAGATTCTTTCTGTTTCTGTTCCAGAAGAGCCGATCGGAGTCTTCAGTCGGCTCTGATCGTGTTCATCCAACATTTGTAGTGAAAGAAGCCGGGCTGTGCGCAGCAGTCTGTAACAGTTACCATCAGAGGCTGCTGTTGAATCCATCTCCCCCGCTGAGCTGCATCATTTATTTGTGTTCATCAGCACTGGCTCTCTGTGCCTCCAGCCTCTTATTTTATCCACGTGCCGTGCTATCCACCGCCCCTGCTGACCGTTAAAAAGAGTGCAGGTTTAAGGACCTTCAGTTTTGGCTTTACTCTTCAGACGCTGATGAGTTTAGCTCTTGTTCCTGAACAGAAACCTGGAGTTTCATCTCAGGATGAAAACCCTCAGATATTTACCTGAACCTGGTCTCTGGAATGAGCCCACAAACAAAAGCAGACGTCTGCGAGTGAAAATTTCCCAGTGTGTTCTTCCAGCATTCACAGAGACAATAGCCGACATCAGTGATGTCAGGGCGGAGTGATGGTGCTGGATCCTTCTGTCAAACTGAGACGAGACAAACCGCTCCAGTAACATTCAGCAAAAAGTGAAGAATAAAAGGTGTTGTTGTGTCAGCGCGACAGAAGTGTGTGGCTTTAGACCCTGATGTGAAGCTGAAATCCAGCTGAGCACACATCTGTGCTTATCTGTAACTTTAAATTCATTTCACTTTTACTGCACGGCACCAATTCACAACTGCAGTCGCCTCCAGCAGCTTTAAACTGTAAGGCTGTAAAGACCCTGCAACGCTGCAGAGGAACCCAACAACCAGACGACGCTCATGAGCAGCACCTGGAGTGGAGGCTGAGGGAGGGGCAGCCAAAAGGCCAACAGAGCTCCTGAGCTCAAACTACAAAGCTTCAAATCATTTCAGACATTTTGCAGTCACTGATGAAAGTATTGCAGTATTCATAGTTGTATGATGGGAATAATGAAACTGAAACTCACACACTGACACCTCACACACAAACACACACCTGCTATAAAGGTGTGTGTTTGTGCTTCATTCCTCTCAGGACAGCAAAGGTAAGAAACATAGATCGTTACAGCTTTTCTGTCTTTCTGCTACTTGTCACTTAAACTTGATCATTGTTGATCGCACCAGCTGATCCATGTCGTCTATATTAGCTTATTTTAACTTTCACTGCTGTGGACGAGTCAGGAGTGTTTTTTAAAAGTTTGCGACATGAATCAACTTAACAGTCAAAAATATTATCAATGATTACAAATAAATCTGAATATTTCTCTTCTGATTAAATATTAGACTGAACGTCTGCTGCTTGGACCTTACAGGCCTGATGTGATTTGCTGCTTTATGAATAAAACTGAATTTGTTCTGACAGTAAAATTACATCTCAGTTACATCCAGGCAGAAACTGACAGAATTTTACCCAAATACTTCATCAGTAAGATGGACGACAAAATAAAAAAAGATCTCCAACAACTGCTCGACAAATTATGGTCTGAGCCAGATCTCAAGGTCACCATGAAGAACTCGGTGAAAGGAGGAATTAAGACCGGAGGATGTGCGGTTGTTGGTGGGCTGGTTGGTGGACCTCCGGGGTTTGCTGTGGGTGAGTACATCAATTATCCATTTGTGAAGCAGACATTAGGGGCGACCGTGGCTCAGGGGGTTGGGAATCGCATCTGTAACCGGAAGGTCGCTGGTTCGATCCCTGGGCTCTCTGTCCTGGTCGTTGTGTCCTTGGGCAAGACAATTTCCCCTACCGCCTACTGGTGTTGCCAGAGGGGCCGATGGCGCGATATGGCAGCCTCGCTTCTGTCAGTCTGCCCCAGGGCAGCTGTGGCTACAACCGTAGCTGCCTCCAACAGTGTGTGAATGAATAGTGGCATTGTAAAGCGCTTTGGGTGCCTTGAAAAGCGCTATATAAATCCAATCCATTATTATTAAAGCAGCTGATGATCGGGCCAATGAAACAAAAGAATCGAGGACACAGTGAGAACTTGGACAAAATCAATCAGATTTTTTTTTATTGGGTTATTGGACTGATAGACTGCCATGTTCAAAAAATCTATAGGTATGTGGAATTGGGAGAAAATGATCCCTCACAGAGCTTTAACTTCTCAACTTCAAAAATATAAACTGCTGTACGTGAACTTTTTGTCCATTTAAGTGCAGATCAGCAAACTGTGAGCGGTAAACTTTGAGTCTCCATCGCTCTGCTCTCTGCTGGGAACTGTTGAACCAAACCAACACATAAGTTGCAATGAAGTGAAAATTCTTTGAAGCTTTGTGGAGTTGAGGGGACCGAAGCATTTTAGCAGTCATGCGATGAACTTGAACCTCAGTCCCATCAGATATAATTTACTCTCAGTCTCTGATGTTTTTAACGAACACCTTTTATTGCTTGTAATGCACAGACACACCAACAGAGGGCAGTAATATCTCTTCAACATACATTGCAAAATTACTATTACAACATCCTCTTCAAGACAGGCAGAAATATTTCTAACTGGAAACTTGATTCAAATAATCCGTCAAAAATATAACACGAATCGACACAGCGGCCATTTCCATGGTGAGGAATGAAGAGAAACAGCTCCTAAAGCAACATATGTGACTCTCCATCCACCCTCTTGTCTTCCAGGTGCAGCCATCGGAGGCATCTACAGCTGGAAGACCAGTGACGATTTCAAGCCTCTGCCTCAGATCCTGCGCGAGATGCCTCCTGCTCAATTGGACAAGCTCCTTAAATCAGTCATGGCTATTTTAGTTCATCTGAAATGGGAAACTGTAGAGGGGCTCATTGATTATGTGATGAAAGACATTCCTCTCAAGAAAGCAATCATTGATGAGTTAAAGCGCAGGGTGAAAACTTTAACCTGAGAACAGGTGTGCTGTGAGTTCTGGCTGCCTGCAGACTTTTCATGATGAACCCTGAAACACACAGAGGAGAGAAAATCTTTCTTCATCTTTTTCAAATAAAACAAACTGATGAGCCTTTTTGTGTTTCCACAAATGTTCGCATTATAATGATCGAAGGTGCAGCGCTGCACGTGTACATTATGGATGTACACGTGCAGCCGACGATGATGCTGAAAGACCCGATGAAGTGATACAAGCTGCGGGTTCAGTTTAAGATCTACTTGAAGCTGTAGGTAGAGTAGGTTGAAATCAAAGTCAGGCACATACTGAACAAAATGACTTTGGGAGTGACAGTTAGAGTACCATCTGCAAATTTATTTATTTCATATTTTTGTATTCGTGATAAAACTTGTCACATTTGTTTAACGCAGCATGACAGTTACATGGAAATAACATTTTCTTTTCTGTCTTTGTGACTCAAAATTTCATGTTAAAAGTTTCTCTACATGCGGGGGTGTCGTACCACGGTGGCTATCCCCGACGGGATCTAGCACGCGCTGGGCAGGGAGAGTGGACCCAGCTGACTCCGCCTCCATTACAACCAACTAGAGGTGGAAGTGACGTTTGACTTTAGTGAAAAGGTGAAAGATGAGTGTCGTTATACTGTCGTTCAGTCTGTGGGTTACAACAGAAAATTATACATTTATTGTTCTCACCTGTTATCGGACGGGATAAATTAAAAAACAAAAACAGGACAGTTTGGCTGATAATTATTTGGATCCCACTGAAACTGTCTAAACCAGCGGTGCCCAACCTTTTCTGCCTTACGGACCGGTTTATATCCGACAGTATTTTCACGGGCCGGCCTTTAAGGTGTCGCGGATAAATACAACAAAATAAAACCAGTACTGGTACCAAAAAAGAAGATTTATTCATAACACACGTGAAAAGACCCAGGGAACCAAGTTAATGATAAAAACGATAAAAACCTTAAAAACCATAGCCAACCAAGTTCAGCTTGCGTGGCCCGGTCCATGGCCTGGGGGTTGGGGACTGCAGCTCCAAAGAGTAGTTAGTCACTATAAGAAGCGTTAACTGAAAATCAAGAATGAGGGATACCGTTTGTCCCTGATTTGGAAAGCCCAGTGCAGTGGAAAGCCCGCTCGCAACGCATGGGAAACAAATCCTGTCAGGGATACTTAGCGTGGAACGACACGGGCACAGCTTGGAGGCTCAGCATGACCTTGAAACTTTCAACTAACCACACCAAAGTAAGCCGAGCTATGTCAAAGCTCGCAAACCCCCCAAAATTCCTTCAGAGGAACAACAACATGAAGGTGCTACTAACAGGATGGTGGAACTGAAGGTAGCGTTAAGAGAGTTGAGGACGCTTGGCTCGCAGTTTAAGTCCAGCATTGACAGCATTGGTAAAATGGGTGAGATGACCACCTGTGTCACAACACACCAGTTTGACAGAGATCGAGCAGAAAGTAGAGCGCCGCCGCCTGCACACAGAAGAACCTGAAGAACGTCTGGAGAGCAGCAGTGGCGAATTAGCAAAAGCAATGGAGCAAACTGCCTGGTCGAGGTGTGGCATGAACCGAATCCTGGAAAAGTGGAATACTCGTGTCACTATAGTACATTAAAAACTTGCTCCCCCATAGATTACTTCCCTGTGTCAAGAGAGCTGTTATCACAAATGAAAAACTGCTGGCACAGCTGTATAGTTATAAGTGACCATGGTCCTGTCTGTTAGCATTTACGGGTGGGTGGCTGTGGCTCAGGTGGAAGAGCAGATCATCTACTGATTAGAAGGCTGGTGGTTCGATCCTTGGCTTCCCCGGTCTGCATGTCAGATATCCTTGGGCAAGATACTGACCCCAAGCTGCCCTCTGATGCGCTCATCGGACTGTGACTGTAGATGAGTTTGCACTTGTGAATGCATGAATGAGGCATGTTGTATAGAGCGCTTTGAGTACTCCAGGAGAGCAGAAAAGCACTCTATAAGAATCAGACCATTTATATAGACGGAACAAAACGCTGAATTTATTACATACGTTAAAACCAGAACAGCATCGATTTTGGATCAAATACTGTCCAAACTAGTACCAACATAAGCTGGGAGGAGAGGAGAATTAATCAGCTTTACAAGCTCCAACATTTAAAGAGACAAAATGAAATGAAAATTTCAGGAAAACAGATTAAACTCTTGGAACTTCAACTTATTAAAAATAAAGACTACAACTACTCCAATCAACTTACTTCTTTTGACAGCAAAATATAACAAGTTACCCACTGACAAAGCGGAGAAAAAGCTCGCTCTGGCTCAAAACATCTTATTGCAATCAAGGAGAAAAGGCAATGGGCACGGAGAACTCAGACATCACAGTCTGAGACAGCAATTAGGATAATTCTTCAGGAAACCTAATAATAGACCCCCTAGAAACTTACAGTAGTTTTAAGGAACACCACACAGATCAGAATGTCTCAATTTGACCAAAACACATTTCCCAGTCATTTGCAATTTCACACAATGATGATGAAAATTTTTTTATTTATACAGCACCAAATCACAGCAGCAGTCTCCTCAAGGTGCTTTATACTGAAAACCCCCAACAATCATATGAGCCCATGAAAGCACTTTGGCGACAGTGGGAAGGAAAAACTCCCTTTTAACAAGAAGAAACCTCCAGCAGAACCAGGCTCAGGGAGGGGCGGGGCCATCTGCTGTGATTGGTTGGGGTGAGAGAAGGAAGACAGGATAAAGACATGCTGTGG